ACCGTGCAATCTTTTGACTTTAATAGAAAAAGACAAGAAAGTAATTGCAATACCGTTTCCTTCCTTCAATCGATCGTTCTTCTTTCAATCAACAATGTCTCAAAATCACTAATTCATTTGCGAGAAAAAGAGCCTGACAAATTGTTGTAGACCAGTCAATAGCTCACTATAGGACAGACGGACAGACTGACACATATAAAGTTATACCTTATGATATCTTTTTTGCTTGACGTTCAAAAGTGCCTTTTTTTGGTCTATTCGAAATAAAGAATTTTATTTGATTTTGATTTGATTTGAATAAACCTTTATTCATTACTATAACGTTTTATACACAAAAATATGCAACTAACCAGTAGAAAATAACCAATACCTATACATATTAATAAAGTGTCCAGAGTCGTTGATATTACATATATAATTACAAAGATACCTCTGGGATTGCTCAAATCATAAGTTATATAAAGAAACCGCAAAAATATTTCTCTTTTGTTTTATTTTACCACACTTATGCCTTTGCACATAATATGGTCCGTCATCATTTTTATTGTGTTGTAAAGTTATACAAATAACTTCTTATATTTTCGAAATTCTTACAAAAATGTTCACTTCTTTGCATAAATAGTAAATATCGAAAGATATACCTACTAAATAAACTCATAAACAATTTAAACACACAAAAGTCGTCTAAATACCTTACGTTTTTGCTGAAGAAATAAATGGAATTTTCCGTTACCTTATCTTAAATTAGCATAAAATATACAAATGCTCATTGTAAATAGGTAAACATTTTACTAATAAGTGTCGAATCCGAATTTAAATACGATTTACGTTGGCAGCTGTTTCTAAATCGTAAGGCTGTGGGCACACTGGAAGCTTCGAATGTACTGTTTTATTTTAAGAAATAGTTTCAGCACCTGTGTAGATTGCGTGGTGGTCTGAGGTTCTCATACATGATGGGTTCTGGTTCTCGTTCCAAATCAAGCACCAACATGAAACATCACTAGATATAGTGTTTAAATCAACCCGTTGAACAGGATGATTTAAAGACATAAGATTAAACAAAACATTTTTTAAATTTTAAATTTAAGTTTGAATTTTCTTACTCTTTGTGAGAAAAAGCGTTTTCTCAACAATGTGCACCAATATTAATGACATGACTAAGCAAGGGTAACCGCCCAACCAGAACCAGACTCGAGTGTACGGCGCATAGCGTTCCGCGAGAGCGTCAATGAGCTAACAGACCACTATAGACCTACAGGGCAGATGTTTAGCCAGGGTTGCGGGGCTAGCTTGGCCCAAAGCAGGCGAATGAACGAGGGTTTTTAGTCAGAAAGAGTCTGACAGAAATCGAGAGGAGTAATTTGATAATTTTCTCATCAGAAAAAACGTATACCAAATTTCATTAAATAGCAACTCAAAACGAATATCTCACCATTGTGAACGTGGCTTAACAGAATTTAGTAACTCGCTCCGAAGTAGACATTTTCCCAGAAATTATATTTGTACCTAACGTAAATTGATATTGAGGAAGGAATTATGAAGATGCCTCTATTTTGTGAAAGGGGAAGTTGATATGTATTTACAATTGTATATTTGTGTTCTACTTAATTTTTTGTACGGTTTTTCGAGTATTGTATTACAATATACTTTTCTTTGATATTGAAAAGAATGAATATTTTTGTTTTTGTTATACATGAAAACATTACAAATCTTCTATCAGGTTGATTCATAGGTAACGAATCGTGTGACGCCGAAAAGATCATTTGTTTACTTTTAATTTTGTATCACAAGAAACCGCGAAGAAAACATCGCCAAAAAGTTTCTGCCCGCAGAAAAACTTGTGTAAAATATCACGAGCGATTTAACTGTCTTAACCGGCTTTAAGTAAGAGGAATCGGGTGGATTTTAGTCAGTAAGATAGAGACACTCCTTCGTGGGCCACCTAGAGCAGAATAAGAAATTTGATGAGTTCTTCCCTCAAAAAAAATTTGGTTATTTAACCACTCGGTGTAGCGGGCAAATGAACAATGGCGTACACTCACCCGGATTGATTGGAGCAAGAGCAGATAAAATCAAAATCAAACTCAAAGTCAAAGTATTTATTTTCTCTTGAATTCAGTTACATAAAAGGTGTTACTATATATCAATAAGTTCAGTTTTCAGTCATAAGATAATGACATGCAAAACCTTCATAACAAGTTTTTTAGATTTTTTTGTTTTTTATTTAAAAAAAATAACGTTGTCCATCATTAGGATTTTCTCCTGTGTCGTGGGTGCGGTTACAAACATACAATATCACATACACATCACACCCAGACCCGGAACAACAATTTGTGGATCACAAAAGAGTTGTTTCGTGCGGGAATCGAACCCACGACACGTTGCACGGTAGCCAGTTGCCCAGCTACCGCACCAAACGTGCAGACAAAATATTAATTAATGGCATTACTTTGGAAACTTTTTTAAGGTGTTATTTTTAGTCAGTAACAGCCTCACGCCATTTAGGTGGGAGAAGTCATAGGACGACTGCTCCTCCTCACCTCTCCAAATAAAAATGTGATGATCTCCGACCAATAAAGGTCAAATCACCTAAGCCTAAACGTGACATATTAATAGCTATATGAATAGTGACTTTCAGCGGATTTTTGGTTTAAGAACTATCCTATGTCCTATCTCGAGTTCCAAACTAAGTCTGTACCAAATACACAAAAATGTTCAGCAGTTTAGGCGTGAAGAAAAGACAGACAGGCTGACAGACAGGGTTACTTTCGCATTTCATATGGGAATAAAGTTCTAGGATTAGTACAAGTTTCTTTTGATACGACGGGGAAGGGAAAACTTTATGTACGTGAGTTCCTGTGGGTGATAAACAACTGTTAAGTTTTGGTGCATTAACGAATAGGTACTCGTAATTGTATGTCTGATTCATTATGTAGACGGTACGGTTGATTTTGTACAATCATCGATAGATTCTGTGATTATTTTATTTCATTTTATGAAATCATTTAGTTTTATCTTGTTTGTTTTCTTAGAACAAAGTTATAGTGCGTAAGTATAATGAGATGAATATGATTTTTGTGTGAATGTATTTTCATGGTGTTACACATGAGACGTTTGCTTGTACTCGTATAAATAAAATATTAAAGATTCTGGGGTGTTTATTGAAGCTGAGGTGTGATGTGATATTGAATATGATTCGCATTATATTCACTTTTTGCAAGAAAACCAAATAAGTTTAAAAAGGAAAACCAGTCAACAAACGATACACAAACAAAATTGTTGCCACGTCTTTTCAGAAAGGTCATTGCCCTCAGGCCTGCCCCGAGTTATAAATAGACTTATATTATTTCTTTATCTATCATATCAAATAAATGTTATATACAAATAAATATTTAGCTGTACGAGTATATATATTATACTACATTAAAGAGTCCTGTTATAGTTAATAATAACAAGGAGTAGTTAATATAGGAATTTATCGGAGGGAATAGATATACTAGTATTGGTAGAACATTCTAGATTTATTTTAGTGACCTTAGCTAATAGGTTGAAGTTTATGAAGGCTTATATGTATGTGTTTGGAGAGCGATGCTTCGGCGCAAATGAGTCGGCTCGATCGGAGTGATACCACGGCCTCACAGAAAACCAGCGTGGTCGGAGGCCAAATTTCCCTATACCCATCCTTCCCCAAGTGAAACGCCAGACAACGCATTCGCTACCCCTCTGGTGTCCAAGGGCGGTGTGGGCTGCTTACCATCAGATAACGAGTATTCTTGTTCAAAAATATATCACATAATAAAATGAAACTAGCTTTTATGATAAAGTGTTAATTAACTATGGTCTTAGTACGTTGACGTGTATTTTATTGTAGAAACGCTGCCTCGTCGCTCTAACAAAATGGTTACAGGAAAACATAAACCAATATTATTATGATTTCCCTATTGCAAAATCCCCAGTAACAATAATAATCTAGATCGTGACTAGCCTTTAACTTAGGAACTAATAAAAATTATAATCAAGAGAAAGAAAACAGTTTCTATTCGGAATTATGTAGACTTGAAGGCCTAAAACAATAAAAAAATACAACATAAAAAATTAAATAAAAGGTTTGAAAAATAGAACCACAAAAAAAATATTATTAAAAACAATAACCTTGAAACAGACTAACAATAATAGTACTCTGGGTTGGCGGACATGCCCAATCCGAATGGGTCGCCGACTCAGGAAAAGCTGGGCACAGAGCACCCGACACTGATTTTCAGTTAGCACCCCTGCGGTGACGCATGGACAAAAGCAACACTTACAAGAGACATTTAATGATTCCAAAACCTCATCTTTATTTAACCCTTTGGAAAGTAAGAACAATCTTTAGCATCCAGAAGGCAAAAAGGGTTAAAAAACAGCAAAATAATCTAGTCATTGTCACGCAAATTTCACCCTACGCTCTTAACCGAATGTATACATTTGAGGCTAAATTCAAATTTTTAGGTCCAGAAATAGTCGTTAAGGGACATTGTATCGCGTTTTCTAGATCTTGCAAAAATAGATAGTCATCTAAGAACATGGTGTAAGTATTTGCGGTTTTGCCTATTTTCGACATTCACAAAATACTGAATACTTTATTTTGTCGCTCGAAACAAAAGAGTAAAAGAATTCGTTTATGAGCATCGGCGCTCTTGTGTATAACTGAGCCTTGTATCCATGGACAGTTAACACGGAGACGCCTCGCGACGCGACGTTGCGCTGAATACAAAAACCTCTTTTTTGAAGTCGGTTAAAACTATTTTTTTATTCTAAAAGAGCCGAATTTCATACAAAGTGTCTTATACAGTTGCGTCGCATCGCGTTTCGGTGATAATTTAGTAGTTTTTTTGACAAAGGAAAATCATCAAATGACTTTTGTCGCACAGTGTAAACCTAGCTAGAAGAAGAGTCAGACTCTTACTGACTGAAATCCCCCCATCCATTCTCCTAGTCCAGCCCGAGGCTGTAGGACCTAATTACGCTTGACCCGCGACCCTGGCTAAACTTTGGCCATTTAGGGCCCCGTGGCCGTGGCCCACATTTAGCGCGTGGAACGCTACGCTCGGCACTCTCGGTTCTGGTTCTAGTCGAGCGGGACCTGGCTAAGAATTCATGATTATCGTAGGAAAATTCAAACTGTTGTTACAAAAAGTGTTCAAGAATATACTGACACGTGAGTAACCCGCAATTTTTAGTTAATTTAGTATGTCTCACGATAGTTATTATAAAAAATATACTGAGGATTGAAAATCTTTTGTACGATGATAAGAGGTCTTACATTCCCTGTGGGGTAGGCCGAATAAGACATCCTTGTTCCTATATACATTACTTAGTTATAAATGCCAATGTGAATTAAATGTGAATTTAACAATGAACAGAAAATTATTTTAGGAAAACTTACCTGATGGTAAGTGATCTGTGATCCCCATGGACAACACCAGAAAGGACACAGTCCGCTACCGGCACGCAAGAAAAGGTATCCTCTTTTTTTGAAGATTTGAAGGTCATACGATTAAATTTATGTAACTTCTTTTTTATTGTCTCACGCCGGTTTTAGTTAGGTATCAATGGTTATTATGTGTTTATGTAAATATGTGTTATGTTAATAGAAAACATAATATACAGGGTGTAAAAAGACACTTAACAAAGCCGAAAGTCACGTATTCTACCCATTATTTGAATCATTTTTTCTTTAAGACCATAGCTGGGACTCCACGGGTTCTCGAGATATTGAAGGTCAAAGATGCATTTTTAAATTATTTTTTTTTGCGCAATCGAATTCTAAGTATTGTTACAAAACTTTTTTCCAAACAAACATTACCTGAATTTTCAATTTTTCTAAATAAATTATGCATTTGAAGTTACGAACAGTAATGTACGTAATAAATAAATGCAGAACCGCACAAAAAACATCGTGCATCTCAGTAGGATTTTTATTTTACAGTATTGTTTTGTTGTTGTGAAGTAAAACGTCGACCTACGTACTTATCACAGCGTTTTCATGCTAAGCTGTGAACCTACGCACACAGTGACACGAAGCCCGTTTGCTTTACATTGTACGCAATTTTTTTTTTTTTTTTGATACCTTAACATAAATGTCGTTTCCCAGTGATAATTTTAGAGTAAAGCTACTTAGTTAGAACTGCAGTATGCGTAGTTTACGGCTTCGTTAAGTGTCTTTTTACACACTGTATATATTCTACAAATTATAGTTTCACACTCACATCATCAGCCTATAAGTGCCCACTGGTGAACTCCTAAATTGAGTGTTTGTAAACGCACGATACAGGAGTACATCCTAATTTAGTGTGGGGCAACGTTTTTTTTTATATTTTTTATCACCATGCTTGCTCAAGGCGGATTGGTAATTTAAAACCCAGTCCAGGTTTCCTCATCATTCCTTCCTTCATCGTAGGTCAGTAGTGTTTAAATAGAAATAGAAAGTATTTTAGCTTTAAAAAAGTCATATTGTCACTTCCCGTTTTACGAACCCGCACGCTCATACTATTGTTATAAGAACAGCTGGTGCTTTTACCTCTGGGCCACCCCGAAGTTACAAATTATAGTTTATTAATGTGATCGTATCACATTATAAAATATTTTTGCAATATAAAAATGTTGTGTTTACAATGGGAATCAAATTATAATTATGTAATTATTCTAGGTGAAATGAAATGGCCCAATTATACCATTTAGGTTCAAATAAGCCATAAAACAGCCATGAAATCCTAGCTAAAGGTTCATAAAATTTGATCGTCTACAAAACTAATTGTTCTTTTACAAGCTTACTTTTGTTTTAATTTATTGACTGTCATAACTACCCTGTAACAGTGTCTTCTTTGAGATTTTTAGGTCAAGTATATGATTTTGTCTATTTAGCCGTTTCTGTGGAATTTTGTTTTGTGTTATACGTAAAACATTTTTAGAACATAATATCATAATTATCTTTTTCTATAATCATTTAGACAACAATGGCATACGGTGAAGAAAAACATCGCGAAGAAACATGGACTTATGATTTCTAATTATAACTTTGAAATCGCCAATCCACTTTGAGCAAGCGTGGTGATTAATGCTCAAACTTTTTAAGTGTAGGAAGAAGCCTTTGCTCAACAGTATTCACTTGTAGGCTGATGATGTTTGTATGTATAATACTTTAAAAGCAAATTGGTATACTTGATGGTAACCAATGAATACCGCCTATGAATACTAGCAACACCAGAGAAGTTATAGGTTCATCATCGGCCTTATGTGGGTTTGAGAATTGGTTCGGTAAGAGAAGTATTGCCTCCATGAGCTTCAATCACATGTTGAAACTCAACGTAAACGCTGTTTCGCGAAGGATATCTGTGAAGCCGTTATTATAAGATCGGTAGAGCCTATTCGTGTAGAAACGTAGCTCTCCAATACCTGTTTATAGTTGAAATGCCTTCTAAATTAAAATAAAATAATAGTAATTTTGTAAAGGGACAAGTATACGATGACTAATCTCCCCCAAAGTGAGGCGTGAGGAAGAGTCAGACTCTTACTGACTAAAAACCCCGGTCACTTCTTCATCAAATGGTTAAGAAAGCATTATTGAAATTTATATCCGGCAGATGGCGCGTTGGACTCGCTGCAACTATCAACAGCGATGCAGGCGCCATCGCTAACCAGTAGGCTCAGTGTGTTTCTGTAAGACTTCATTCTAAACTTCGAATCTCGCGTCCGCGCACGCTGCTCATGAGAAAGAACCCCTCTGTGGTTTAAAGTTTAAAACTAGTAGGGCTTTTCTCAGTATATACACGTGAATAACCCGCGATTTTTTAATTATTGTAATTTATACCCCGTTTTCTATCATTGGTCAACCAAGCATTTCATTTTAATAGCCATTAAAACTTATTCCAAACGATATATACATAGTTACCTACAATCGAATATATTCCTTCTCAAGATATATATTATATGTGTATATGGGAAAAAATGAGATACTCTCACTCCAATAAAAGTCGTTTAATTAAACTTTGTGAAGGAACATCGAAAATTCGGAGAATCCAAAACTTTTATATAAAAACCTTGAAATTTATTAATGGTTGGCGCACAAGGGAAAATACTTTTATCTTTTAATACACTAAAAAGGGAAAATGTATTAATGTTATATTTTCAGTAATAATATTTCTCACAGTTTCCGTGTGGATATTTATGTATTTTCACACTAAAAATTCAAATTATTATTATAGATTGCTAGCTTTTGCTCCCGCTCAGCGCTACTCTACCCTACCTTGCCATATACCCTACCGTGCCTACCTAACCTACCTACCTAACTACCCTACATACACTTGACTACTTATCCTATCTACCCTACATGCCCTACCTACTCTTCTTACCCTACATACAATACTTAACCTACCTACCCTACATACTCTACCTACCCTACCTACACTACTTACCCTACCTACCCTACATACCCTACCTACCCTACCTACCTTACATACACTACTTATCCCAACCTACATACCCTACCTATCTTACATACACTACTTATCCTACCTACCCTACATACCCTACCTACCCTACCTACACTACTTACCCTACCTACCCTACATACCCTACATACCCTACCTACCCTACCTACCCTACCTACCCTACATACCCTACCTACCTTACATACACTACTTACCCTACCTACCCTACATACCCTACCTACCCTACCTACACTACTTACCCTACCTACCCTACATACCCTACATACCCTACCTACCCTACCTACACTACTTACCCTACATACCCTACCTACCTTACATACACTACTTACCCTACCTACCCTACATACCCTACCTACCCTACCTAAACTACATACCCTACCTCTGATTCAGATCTTACCCTATCTACGTACACTACCTAGGGTAAGAAGGGTAGGTCCAACCTACCCACCCTAGCCTACCCTACCTACCCTGGACCTACCCTTCTTACCCTAGGTAGTGTAAGAAGGGTAGGTCCTACTCTACTTATCCTACCTACCCTACCTACCTTAACCATCCTACCAAAACAACCTACAAAAAATTGTCTTCTTAAAAACAGTTTCAAATACACATGACACACATATTTGCAACTCGGAACATCTTCAGTAAAGGCAGTCTTTGCGCCAAAATCTCTCAGCTCTTTATCCATTACAGATATTCCATAACTACCAGTTCTGAGATTAAACCTAGCTATGCCAGTCAGCTAACATAATTAATTAAGATTGAAAAGTGAGACCACTAATATAATAAGGCGGGTGGACCGTCATCAATCATTGTTACACTGAGTAGTTCTGCTTTCGGGATTTGCGATCTTTATCCGTTAACTTCGAATTTGGTGAGGTGTTTCATGTTGTATTTGATGTACAAGTTATTAAGGGAACATTTACGTATTTGTGTGCATACAATCTATACTTATTTATCTATACTAATATTATAAAGAGGTAAAATTTGTAAGTTTGTAAGTTTTTATGTAGTGGGTATTCTTTGGAACCACTGGTCAGATTGCCGAAATTCTTTCACTGATGGATAGCTACAATGTTCCTGGGTGCTATAGGCTATAAAACATCACGCTACAATCGGATGGATCCGAGCAGCGGTTGAAACCGCGTGAGAGTATCTAGTATAATATATTGATATTATAAAGCTGTAGAGTTTGTTTGTTTGTTTGTTTGAACGCGCTAATCTCCGGAACTACTGGTCCGAATTGAACCATTATTTTTGTGTTCGTTAGTCCATTTATCGAGGAAAGCTATGGGCTATAAACATCACGCTACGATTTGTAGGAACCGAGCAGCGAGTGAAACTACGCAACAGAAGCTAGTATAGTATACACAAATTTGCATGCAGTTCCACTGCTTGAAGTTAATCATAGATGTCGCTAGTGGTCTGTTATTAATATTTTTGTAAAATAATTACTAATCGATTTTTGCATTCGCTACGATATGAAGAATCCGAGTCGGGGGTCATACCGCGGGACAGTAGATAGTCTTTAATATAAGAATGTTGTTGTGCCTTAAAACAAGTAGGACTTTTATCACTTTATTCACGTGAATGAGTTAAAAATGAAACGCTTAACATGTTTCTAAGCGCAAAATATCTCAAGAACGGCTGAACTGACAAAAAATTTTGTTGGTGTTTTTTTTTATTAATTAAAAAAGACCTTTTCTCCTGTGTTGAGAGTGCGTTTCAATCATACACATAAAGAATGAAACTAAAAATTATTCCTTGGATAATCGAACCCGCAACACGTTGCAAGGTAGCCGGTTGTCTAGCCACCGTGTTAAGCGGAGATGATGAGATATTTAGGAGAAGGATCTTATAAAAGGAGTGTTTTTAAGGAGTAGCGTGTTCGTTTAGAGAACACTCTAGTTATCACACACTGCCATAATCACGATTTTCATTTTTCTGTTTTTTTTTTGTTTTTATTTGTTTTTATAAAAATGTGTACCTAACTTATACCGAACTAGCACAACAAAATTGTAACTCAATTGAGGAAGAGCGAGGTCCATCCCAACACAAGTATCTTCGGATTACTTTCTGGGAAGCCCCGGCAGCACAATTGTATAGATTTGAGATAATAAAACACATTGTAATTTTAATTTTAGAGTGGTAAATTTTGAAGAAGAAAGAACGCCATGACGGTTCGTTTTGAGGAGAATATCATAGAAGACCACCTAGAACTAAATGGTCTTTTATGAAATATTCGATACAGAATTTTAATCTTAAAGGTCCAAACTCATCAAATTTTCCAATAAAACCACCCCTCTTCACCCTTGTCACAGACTCTGGCAGAATTTAAATGAACTATTGATGTAGGTCATCCCCTTTTTGTTTAAGACCTAAATCTATTGGCAGGACCTGACAGATAAATCGATAAACGTTGGTGACAATGAGACCCTTTCTGGTTGGATGTTATAGCAAAAACACGGCTACAAAATATATTGGCATATAGTTTTATTTTATCAGTATAATATAGAGGCTTGGCAGATGACAGTATTATACACAAAGACCAAAAAAGGTTTTCAAAATAAGAGTTGTTCGAAATCCGAGTCTAAGACAAAATTTATAAAATAAAACATATCTTCGTCGTCACAGAAGCCATTGTTTATTATTGACGATTGTATGTTACGACGATACGATACTTGTAATTAATGCAGGTTTGAAGATTATCAACTGTCGTAATTGCGATCAAGATTGTCGCAAACATTGATGAACCTCCAAAATGTTAACCGATAGAAGAAAAACAAACAATTCACAAGCTCACCTCTTACAAAATCTACTCCAAAAAATGCCATACATGTATTACAAAATACTCTCTATCAGAAAAGCGACTAACCTTTATCATCAGCTCGGAATTCTGCCTCCAGCTCAGCCTTGGTAGGCTGGGGTTCTGGCTGTGGTTGCTGCTTGCTGGTCTTCATGCTCATTGATTTCCTCGTTCGATGTCCACGGAAAGCCGCTTGGATCTTTGTCGCTGCCTGCTCTTCTGACTTCACGTCAGAATTGGCCTCTGTCTCTTTGGCTTTCTCTTCTGTAAAAAGAGAAGACGAGGTTAGCAAAATGCCGCTTTAGTTCTTAAAAATAAATCACTTAGGTATATCCAACAATTACTTATTTAATTAAAAGCATATTTTTTATTTAAAGCATTTTAATAAATTACTAGCAGACCCAGCCACGCGTTGCTGTGGCTAACGTAAAAAATATTGTGACTATAAACTGAGATGTAAGCTATCCTATCTTTCAAGTTGGATCAAAATGCATACGGAATGCAAATCAAATTAAAAATCGGTTTAGTAGTTTAGGAGTCCATCGCGGACAAACACGTGACACGAAATTTTTATCTACATATATATAAAAAAAGTCGAGTTAGTTACACTATTTATAACTCAAGAACGGCTGAACCGATTTGGCTGAAAATGCGTAGGGAGGTAACTAAGAACTGGGAGAAGGACATAGGATAGGATAGAGTAGGTACTAGGTAGTGTAGGTTTTGTAGAGTAGGGTAGGTAGAGTAAGGTAGGCAGTGTAGGGTAAATAGAGTAGGCTAGGTAGAGTAGGGTATGTAGGGTAGGTAGAATAGGGAAGGTAGTCAAATGACGGGAGCGACGCCGCTGGTAAGAGCTAGTATACTTATAAAGATTACAAAACAACAAACAAAACACCGTTTTGGTTAGCCTTTTCTATAACTTAGTTTGTTTACCAATACTTTTTTTCAGTTTTATCATTTATAATACGAACATCTATCAGTTCTCAGTTGAATTTCGTGCTAGATAATTGTCCAAAATATTGGCAATGGCCGCACTCTTGACGTTTTATGGCCCACCCAAAGCATTCATTATAATAACTGATTCATAAATCAAGATCATTCGAAAGATTATACAACAGATCCCACATACAATTTCAATCTCAATACCATAAAAATAATATTCTAAAATACATTTATTTAAACAAACTATTTGTACTAACGCTACACTTTTCTTAAGAGAATTGAATTTCAAACAAATGGCCACGCAATTTAGAACTATTTGCGGAATGAAATAAGGCGTGTGGAATAGTGGCAATAATTCTTTCACCTGCCAAGAAAGTTCTCAATGGCTTTATCTGGAATCTACAGTTTGATGCCAAACAAACACTTTCAAAGTAAATCGAGTGAAACTTTTTAGTTATTCGACTTATTTTTTTTTCAAAAGAACCATGGCCAAGTTTGAAATTTGGGTCAAGTATGACCTACAAACATTTTTGAGCTGATTAATCGATTCAGTGTATTTGGATTTAAAAGTAGAGCAATGTTATCGATCTTTTTAAATAAACTGAAAAGGAATGTAAACAAATTTTGTTTAGGAATTATATCACTTTGTAGAATTATCTTTTTTTTAAAGGAGTCAGCGCAGGAAACGGCGAAGCCATTATAAATTGGTATGCAGGCGCTCATGATTACCCGCAACAAGAGAAGTGACAAAAGCGTAACCGGCCTTTTTATTGTGAGGGATTTTGACTCTTCGATTTCTCACTTACATAGTTTTGTATCGTGTCAGTTTTAAGTGAAGCCGTGTTATGACTCCGCTCGAGCCAGCCCACTTGTCCCGAATCATGGCTCTCACATTTTAAACAGAATAAATGCAAGGCCTCTGTGACTAAAAGTGACTGACAGACAAGGTTCAGCTGTGTGATTCTGTAAGACTTCATTCTAAACTTCGAATCGGAATCCACCCTGAGTAGTAGTACACTAGCGCTACACTTGCGAGTTGAACTAAATTGACAGCATCATTTTGAAAGATAAAATATGAAATGACGTTAAAAGTGGCATTCAAAAATTTAATTTCTTCGTCAATTCGACGCTCACTTCGCACTCGAACACGATTCAAAATCAAACAAATTTTATAGAATCGACGTGCAGTTCTCAGCTAAGATGATTCGCGACGGATTATGATACTTTTTTAATAGAATAATTAAAGAGTAAGGTTTATATTATATAATAACATCCATTAAATAGTTGAGTTTATCATCAGCATAACATCTGTGCAAAGCCAGGGCGCGTATCTAGGAATGAGAAACTCAGCTTATTGCTATGCGAAGCACAACTTCAGACTTCATAGAAAGCCACTACTAAGAAGTTCAATAAATGGAGAAACCTAATATATTTTTCTGAGGTCAATCCCAACACTCGGATTGAGGATAAAACACTTAGCATAACAAAGTCCCTGAAAAAAATTGTTGGGTCTACTTGGCAAAATAATAAATATGAAGTTTTGTAAGTGATTTTCAGAAAAAAACCAATTCGCATCACATCACGTCGCCAGCCCATAAATGTCGACTGCTAAGTAAAGGCTTCAGCTAACACAGAGAACCATCACGCTTTCTCAAGGCAGATTGGCGATTTTGAATTCAATAACGTGGACCAATTAACTTTCCATCCAACATCAATTGTCATCATAATCATTGATTCAGCATCATCATCATGAACCACAGAACCAAGACTTCCTTTTTGAGATGTTTGGCTTAATCCCTACACGGGCGTAGACTTGGGCAGCAAATAGCATAGTTCGGAGTTGGTTGCAGTATCTACATATTTTTGTGGCTGGTTGCAGTTTTAAGACGTGTCAAAGTTAAGGACGCATATATTTTTTTTTGCTGAGACATGATTTGGCATCACCATGTGTTTGCTGTTTGGATGAAAATGGTTCTCTAATGATCACCGCATATGAGCCCTCAGCGTGGCCTGAAACTAGTCGAGATCCTAGTCAAACAGCTACGTACTTTTTTTTTTATTTTGTGGGCCCGCGTTTGGCCTCTATCGATGGTAAGAGATGATTCCTCATACAATGGAGAATGCTTAATTAAACGGTCATTCAATACAAAGAAGACCCTTCCACAGTTCTACTTTAATATTTTCTTTATTCACATTATGATTAAGTACCTACCTAAAAAATAGTCTAAATAGTGTTTGGTAGGTATAAGTCTGTATAGTATTAATTTAGCTAGTCTAAGCAATCAGAAAATGAAACTAGCAAACTATCCACAGACCATTAAAGTTTGAAACGTTCTTGAAAGGCTCGCTCTAACCAAGAACTATAATGGAAATTAGCTGTAACTCTCAAGAACTGGGTAGATGAGGAAATTTTCTCCGCATTGCGAAGGACGTTACTCTAAGATGGTTGTTTTTTTATTAAATTTTAAAGTAATTACTGACCATAATTCATCTTTAGTTCAGCATTTTACGAGTAGAGGTATGTGTTTTTGGCATATTTTTTGTGACCGAGCTGTTGCGCGAATGGAATAAAACCAAGGTCTCACAGAAAACCGACATAAAACAACTACAACGTTGTATTTTGCCGTATAGGTAAGGTTACCGAAAGCCCTTCATCATCATCATCATACCAGTCATAGGACGTCCACTCCTGAACAAAGGCCTCCCCCTTAGACTTCCAGATAGGCCAGTTGGAATTGACCTGCATCCAGCACCTTCCTGCAACCTTAATTAGGTCGTCTGACCTCCTTGCGGGTGGACGTCCTACGCTGCGCTTGCCGGTAAGTGGTTAAGCCGAATCCTTCCCCTTCCATCACCCTGCCACGACCGCACTCGTAAGTTCTCCAGTTTTGCCGATGTAAAGACGGCACCGATTGCGTACCACCAGGTCCGTCTGCTCGTTAGCCGAATTAATACCATAAGTAAATATGTATATTTTAAATTGACACTCTACATTGATAACTTGTAGAACAGTAGCAATATACCTAATATATAATGGAAATAGTATAACAGTATATAAGTTATAATATACATTATTTTAACAATGACACTGCACGGTTCCGCACCAACCGTGCAGTGTTGGTTGGCCTGCTAAACAGCGTATCGCAGGATCAATACTCGCATGGAAACACGACGATGCATAAACTGTTATTTCCAGTCTGGGTGTCACGTGTACGTGAAATTGTATGTTTGTAAACGCAGGACATCGGAGAAAATCTTAGTCTAGAATAGCGTTTAAAAACTTATTACCTAAACAAGTACTCGTTCAATACCAACCAAATATGCCAACACAAAAACCCACGCTCGACACCTTATCACCCTCCATTTTACCAACAATAGCACTGAAAAATTAACCAAGGTCCAATTTAACACACAAAAAGGTCTAGACTAGGTCGAAATTTAAGACTTTTATAACGATACAGAGATTTTTCAAAGGTAAAATTTGACATGGAAACATTATTCAAAAATGTTAGAATGTTTTTTTGACGAGTAGAAATAAAAATATAAAGGATATTTATTGTGGGAGTGGCGGGGCGGAAAGATGGCTGTAAATTCAAGGGGATTTTTTGTACACGTGTTTATTTATTTTCTTTGTTTTTTAATCTTTATTAAAGACTGTTGGATGTGTAATTTAAGATGTGTTTTCTAGATGTCTTTTTTGCTTTTAATTTTTCTCAGAAAACCATCGACATCATTTGCGTTTTGCCATCTGAGTACTGTAATCGGAGCATCAATCGGGAGGATTCATTTCCCATTATTCATCTTGTTTCCGAAAGCCAGCAACTCGCTTTTAACTTCTCTTGTTGCTGGAGTTGCAGATAATTATGGGCAGCATAAATTGCTTAACAAAAAGGGCTAAGAGTGAGAGTTATCAAAAAAAAAAACTGCGATTAGTAGTATAATATTCTTACATAAATATTTTTTTTATGTCTAAAGTCAGCAGACGATCAGATGGATGTCCTGATGGTAAGCAATCAGCGCCCCCCATGGACACTTAGTACCAAAGAAGTTTATTTCTACAAGTGCGATGCCGGTCTCTTGTGGGTTCTTAAGGTATAAGGGATAGGGGATTTGAGGATTGAGGATAGGGAGAAAGAGGCCTCCAGTAACCACACCACACACTCCGGTCACTCACACGACGAAACACAACAAAAGTATTGCATCACGCCGATTTTCTGTAAGACCGTGATATTTTCCGGCGTGAAATAACCACAGCGTTGTGTTTCGCCGCGTAAGTAAGGTTACCGGAGACCCAATCCTTCCCCTCCCCCAATCCCTCCTCAATCCCTAAATCTCCTAATCCCTAAAATGTCAGCAACGCGCTCGTAACTCCTCCGGGTGTCCATGGGCGGCGATGATTGCTTACCATCAGGTAATCCATCTGCCCGTTTGCCGACCTATTACACAAAAAAGAACACTCCTACATCAGCTAAAACTTCGAAAACACACTTCGAAACGCGTCAACGGGTTGTTAGCTTGTAGCTCTTACAAAAAGTACTTTCAGTAATAATAAAAACCGAGTCACTTTTATAGCTGAAGCACTAAAACCTAACCTTTATAATGTTGTTAAATGTTAGTTCGTCCCACATAATGCGACATTTTAGTCGTCCATAAAAGATAGTGTGGAAGAAAGTAATTTGATTATCTTTGCTAACTTTCTTTCTTTTATTCATGGTATCGAATTTCAGGACAAATAGAAGCAAGGTCAGGTGTCTTTATATAACGAATAGTGGTGCTCTTGCTATATATACGCCCTTTTCTTGTTTGTTTTGCAAAAGCCCTTATAATATCGCCTATAAAATGGATCTTATAGCATTTATAACCATACGTAGGTCTTTTTCTTCATAGTTTAAGTTGATAATCGAGCAGACGAATCACCTAATGGTAAGTTGGTGGGAATGGGAATGGTTATTAGGGATTTTTTTTTATTAGAGATATTGGGGCAATGTCTTTAATTAAACTTACAAACATACAATATCACATACACATCACACCCAGACCCGGAACAACAATCTCTGGATCACACAAAGAGTTGTTCCGTGCGGAAATCGAACCCGCGACACGTTGCGCGGCAGCCAGTTGCCCAGCCACCGCGCCAACCGTGCAGTCAAATCAAAGATAGCATCATCGTCATCATCATCATCATCATCATCATCACCACCACTACCCTTTAGTATAACTAGTCTACTGCTGAGCAAATGCCTTTTTGCATACAGAGAGGGTTTTTATATCATAGGCCGGCAAACGAACTGACGGATTACCTAGTGGTTAGTCAATGGAGTTGTGTGATGTGTTATGTGACAAGTGCGGTCTCTAGTGGGTTCTTAGGGATTTAAGGATAGATGATTTGAGGATTTAGGATGAGAGGCCAAGAATTGGGGCTCTGGTAACCTCACTCACACGGCGAAACACAACTTAAATGTTGTTTCACGCCGGTTTTCTATGAGGCCGTGGTATTGCTCCGGTCGAGCCGACCCATTCGTACCGAAGCTTAGTCCTACCACACTTAAATTAAAGAATTCTATTTTTATTCTTATATAAGACGAAATTTGTTACTGTAAGCACTTATTTTAGATGTCTTTGTCTTCTAAATAGGCACTTACATTGATTTACTAGACTTAGCTTAGACCTCGTTTACGAAGAAGCGGCGATTCGGGAGTGTAGCGTGCATTGTTCATGTGTTAATAGTTATTGAAAGGGAAAAAAACCCGTTTTTGTTAAAATATAATTTTAATAAAAAAGAACCAACTTCAAGCAGTAAACAGAACAAAAAATCTAAAATTAATTAACTTCGTACAAAGTAATACCTACGTATTTTCATTTAGTTAAATAGAAGATTATGTTGAATTATTATCAATAATTTTGAAATCAATTCCAAAAGGTTATCGGTGAACAAATATAAAAAAGTATAATAATAAACATCTACGGTCGAATTAGAAACCTGCTCCTTTTGGTAGTCAATTATAAGACAGACTTTTTTAAAAGAAATACGTATAACATCATACCAAACAAAACAACATGAAAAAGGAAATATAATTCAGTTAGCACTAAAAGAAACATTTCGTATATATAAGAACAACATTAATTATTATACTTTCGGATTAATCTCGTAACGCATGGCTTGTAACTAGTCGAGTATCTCGTCAAATTATTACGTGATTAAGCCGAAAACATAATAATTAATTTAGAATGTCTCACGAAAAAAAAGAATAACATTTGTTGATTTTCAACTGATACGACGTACGTAAAATTTACATGTAAAACTTAGTACCCAGACATTGGACCTAGCCCGCTAGACTGACTAGTTTCTAAATTATTTATGAACAGGGAAGGCACACGAGTGAAACCGCAGTACAAGCTAATGCATAAGTAATTTGCGGTCGATCTATAGGAAATGTTCGTTAGAACTTACATTTTGAAATCACGTATATTCCTATCATGATTATATATTTAGCAACGTATTGGAAATGGATTGAAATGCTGTTTGTTCGTTGTGTTGTTTCGAGGTTAAGGCACTATTTCTCTATATTTGTTTGATTTAGAATCTTGTTCTCGTCGAGTGTGAAGTAAGCGTCGAAGTGACGGGAAAATTACATTATAGAATGCCACTTTTAACGTCATCTCATACTTTATCAATCAAAATGTTGCGGTCAATTTAGTTCAACTCGCAAGTGTAGCGCTAGTGTACTACTATTCACAGCGGATTCAGTTTCGAAGTTTAGAATGAAGTCTTTCAGAATCACACTGCAGAACGGTTTTTAGTCAGTAAAAGTCTGACACTTCCTCCCCTTCAATAAACCAAGGGTCGAAGGAGTCACTCGATCATTGACCCTCAAAAAACGCTGTTTTCGATAAGCATCCTGATATAATTCTTTAAACCTGTTAGACACGTGGACGAAGATCTCACCCTCAGTAGGAGTTGGCTTCAAAAATATACCGTACTCTCCCGTCAGCATGCCAATCTGTTATACGGGGCAAACACAATTAAGTACCGCAGCCTCGGCTTTGGGCAGGAGGAGGAACGGTCTGGTTTTTAGTCAGTAAGAGTCTGACACTCCCTCTCGCCTCACCCTGGGCGAGAAAATTCATTGGATAATTTTTCCTCCTCAAAAAAGCATCCAGTCTGTTTCAAATGAATATTAACTTATTTTTCCATTCTATTCCAAAGCAATAACTAAACATTAATTACAACAATTTTCTTTATACTTTCAGGAAATTACTTATGTCAAGAAATGGTAATCTTTCAATCAGCCTTCGTATTTCAGCCTTTCCTCGTTCGTTCATTTATTTCTTTTTGAATACAAAATAATAATACGCTAGCTAGATCAGACTATTAGGGGCAGGAAAAGTTATTCTTTTATTTCGTTTGTAATAACTTCAACAGAATTAGTTGGAAAATATTCTAATTTCAAAAGTTTTGGTTCTGTAGAAGAGGTATATTTTTTTTAAACAGAATTCAAATAGTATCTCTTGTGGTCTATAATTGTGGCCAGATAGCGAGAAACGAGTTCGCATACACTTTCATAATCGGGGTCGTTTAAAAATATCACTCAACTAGTATGGCTGGTACGGGTGTGAGGGTGGTTTTTGGGACACTGAACCCTCAAAATTACTCGAATATGACCTTTATATTGTACAAATTCAGACTTATTATATACTGAAAAACAAATAAATTTGTACACCAATTTCATTGGTAAGACATGTATTGTAATATCTATATTCACAAATAAAGTTTGATTTGATTTGTAATGAGGCCAAAGTTCATAGCCCTTTTTTGTGAGGGGAAAAAAACTAATGACTTATCCAACCCAGTCTGAGGTTGAGAGTGTCAGACTCTTACTGACTAAAAGACACTCCCATTCCTTCTTGTGTTCTAGGCCGAGGCCGCGGTGCCTTGTGGCGCTTACAGCCCTACTGAAAGATTCATAAGCCCTGGAGTTGTGATTAAAAGCGGGCCTGCTCGGAGCAAAAGCAAAGGGGTCGTTTAGTCAGTAAGTGTCTGACTCTCCCTGTTGCCCCACCATAGTCATTCTAAAAAAAAACCTCTACATACTAATTCCCAACAAGGTAATATAAATAAAAACCCCAATTAACAATGATTGTTGACAGTTATCGTATAGTTTATATTAATTTATTGAAGTTCATAATTTTATTGCTAGTTCACACGTGATGAACGGGCCAGTATTTTTTATTTAATTGCTTTTTAAAATGTTTGTTATAAAATAGCGGCTATTTTTGGTTTGGGAACGATTATAAATATTTGTTGAATAGTCGTGGATTTCATACAAAAAGCTTCATTTATCGGTTAGGTATATAAGACACACTAGAAAATACATCATCTGTCCTTAAAATCATAATTTCGATAAACAGCCGGTTCGTTTCAAATACAAGACAGCACAAAAGTTGATTGACAACCTCATTAAATTGTTGTCTATATTTTAACATAATATCAACTATCATCATCATCATCATCAGCCTGTTGTCGTCCACTGCTGGACATAGGCCTCCCCAATTGCACGCCACTGAGCTCGATGTTCAGCTCTTCTCATCCAACCACTGCCAGCCACCCTGCGGATGTCGTCAGTCCACCTAGCTGGAGGGCGCCCTACGCTAGGTCTTTAGACTCCGCGGTAGCAAGCGTATACATATGTACCGCATTTCTGGCTTAGAGCGAGAACAGCATGGTTTTTAGTCAGTAAGAGTCTGGCACTCCCCCTCACCTATTTTGGGCGAGAGGGAGTGATTTTCCATTATCATAAAAGTCCTTTATACTATTATTCTAGAAACGCGGGTGAAGTCACTGGTGACAGCTAGAATCACAAGATTTTTTTTTAAAAAAAACTTTGCCTTACATTAGGATTTTCTCCTGTGTCGTTGGTGCGGCAACAACTATACAATTTCACATGACACCCAGACCCGGAACAACAATTTGTGAATCACACAAAGAGTTGTTCCGTGCGGGAATCGAACCCGCGACACGTTGCACGGTAGCCAGTTGCCCAGCCACCGCACCAACCGTGCAGTCAAACTACCTAACCTAACTGATAGTATCAGTTAATAATATAAATCTAGACTTTTATTCAGGCTACGGAATCCTAAATCCTTTCGTCTGTTATTATGTAGAAATAAACAGCTCGTCGGTTTGTAATGATAGTTTCACACGCTAACTTAATTGGCTCGCTTTGTTTGGCTATAACAGTACACCTATTTTTCTGTAAAGAGGTTTTTTTTATGTAATTGGTCGGTAAACGAGCAGACGGATTACCCGATGGTAAGCAATCAGCGCCGCCCATGGACACCCGCAACGGAGGAGTTACGAGTGCGTTGCAGACCTTTTAGGGATTAGGGATTTGGGGATTTAGGGATTAAGGAGGGATTGGGGGCGGGGAAGGATTGGGCCTCCGGTTACCTCACTCACACGGCGAAACACAACGCTGTGGTTGTTTCACGTCGGTCTTCTGTGAGGCCGTGGTATCACTCCGATCGAGCCGACCCATTCGTGCCGAAGCATGGCTCTCCCACACAAACGAGGTTTAGGAAAAAAGTTTTTTATTGAAAGTTGTTTCGTCTGTTGACTGGCTACTGGTCTTATGGACGAGTTCTTTTTTTAAATACGACTGTCAAGGAAGGTAGTTTCATACTCGTTCTTATTTTCGAAAATTTAAATTATGAAACGAACAAGTGCTTATTTATTTATTTTATTTATTGAATTGATTTTTAACTCTCTTTTGTTTGACGTATTTAGTGGACTGTGTAATAAAATCTGAAAATCATAATTATAACTAGTTTCTCGATTCTTTTAGGCTAGGCCAGGCTTAACAGAATTGGAAGGTGACAGATATATTGACTAGTCTATGACATAGGGTGTTTGACTAGTTAGTAAATATATTGAGTTTGATATCTCAATTACTTTTAGCGACTTATGCCTAAAAGCGTACTCGCGTATATAGTTTTATTTTATTTATATACTTATTAAATAGTTTATATACACAAAACTGAGACAAGAAGAATAAGACAACAATTAGGTACAAAGGCACGGTTTATTTCTTCTGAAATCTCTTCCAGCAGGCCCATTATGGGAGAGTTAGAATTCACAGAGAACTTATTTAACTATTAATTTAACTAAGAAGCTTTTTTATGTCATAGGACGGCAAACGAGCTGGATTAGCTGATGGTAAGCAATCGACGCCGCCCATGTCACCCGTAACACCAGCGGAGTTACAAGTTCGTTGTCGGTCTTTTATTAGGGGAAGAAAGATTGGGCCTCTATTAATCACACACATACAGCGTTATACAACGCTTTAGTTGTTTCACGCCAGTTTTCTGTGAGACCGTGGTATCACTCCGGTCGAGCCGACCCACTCATGTAACTAAATATAACCATTACATTTAATATTTTGAAATAAAAATATTTAATTGAAACAAATAAGGTATACACGAGAGAAGCCACAGGCGTAGCTAATGGGCGTTTATTTATCGAAAAGCAGGTCGACCATTAATTATACCGAGTGTCATAATAAATGGTATATAATATTGTATATAATGACAACATTATTTGACATTAAATAAATTACTGTTTCATTAACTGGGTATTACATAATTATAACAGATGATATTAATGTGTCCCGAGTATTTTTCGCGAGAATTAATCTTGTTATAGAAGAGTAACTTGTAATTTATTATTTATATTTTTCGATTGATCAATCGTGTTGATATTTATCATACGATTGTTAGTATTAGGTAATGAAGTATTTGAGTCTAAAATTAGGACTAAAGTCCTAAACACTGGGTGTTAGTGTGATTTAGAATATTATTGTGACACGAAATATGAAATTATGTAGTTTCTTCAGAAAAACATCAAAAAAGAATTTATATATTTTTATTTTCCGAATTATGCTTGATAGGTACTTAATTAAACTTAAAAAGATAACAATATGACGTCATAAGTTACGGTCTTAAGCACAATTCATAGACATTCATTCATATCGTTTTAAAAGTTTGGTGTTTTTTTTTAGGGTAGATATAGGTCGGCAAACTAGTAGACGAATTATTACCTGATGGTAAGCGCCGTCCATGAATACCCACTATACCAAAGGGGTTACGAGTGCGTTGTCGGCCTTCTATTGATAAATGCTTCGGATATTTAAGGATTGGGAAGGGATAGGGAGAGGGGGAGGATTGGGCCTCCGGTGACCATACTCACACGGCGAAGCACAACGCTGTGTTTCACGCCGGTTTTCTGTAATGCCATGGTATCACTCCGGTAGAGCCGACCCATTCGTGTCAAAGCTTGGCTATCCCAAACTTGTGTTGATACGCTCGTAACTCAACAACGTTGGACCAATTTTGTCTATTTTTGTTTTATTTTTATTTTTTTGTCAGGAGAAGGTCAAAGTTCATTGCGACAATTTTAGGAAAATGGAGGCAAGTCTTGTAAATAGGGACCCTTTCGTCGTTAACGAGATAGTTTCAAACCCGTGCGAAGCAGGGGCGGCCTGCTAGTACTAAATACCAATATTATACTTTTATATCTTTAACAAAATGTTCTTTTTATATCTCGTTCTTGGTGTCTCCTTTTAAGCATCTTCATGTGTCAGGAGGCTCCGCTCTACCTAAAAGTATTCATACTAAGAGACACGTAAGCATAGTAGGTATTATTATACTATTTAATCTTAATTCATCAGAAGAATGGATGATGACGATCGCCTACACATCTATCCGTCACTTATATATACTTACAAAACTTTTCCGTAAATTTTTAAAACAAATTCAAGTATAACCCTAATGACACGAAACATTAATCTAATTGATATTCTAAACCTCCGTCGATATTGGATATATTTTCCAGTCACGGAGAGATGACAAGCATTAATATAAATAACTTTTCAATGTAAAATGGAAGTCGACGATTTAATATTTCCTGGTTTTATTACGATCTTTCGCTGGGAGGACACGTTGTTGATACATCAACAGTATATAAGTGCCTATTGCTGAGTAAAGGCTTCTTATCACGCGGAGAAGATTTGAGTTTTAATCACTACGCTTGCTCAAGGCGAATTGGATAATTCAAAAATATAACTAGAAATTATATAGGTGCAGATAAGTATATTTTCCTTGGTGCCTATATAAACTAAGAAAGCACATACACCTCGGAAAAAGTCATATTGGTACTGGCCAGATTTCAAAATTTCCTCTTCGTGTATGAGAAACGCTCGCCTTAACTCCCAGGTCATTTTTGTCATGTTGGTACAAAGATATAAAATTACGAGTATTAGTGTGGTCGATCAATTTATTATTACAAATTCGTTTCGCAATTTCGTACCATTCAAGTGTGGAAGAGCATGCTTTCAGCGCAAATTTGCCAGCTCAACCGAAATAACACAATGGCTTCACAGATAATCAACATCAAACAATACTTGAGTTGTGTTTCACCTTATCCTTTTTTCCCCCCTTAATTCGTGACTCGGACCTATGAGTATTTTCTTGAAAAAAAAAAATTAGTTTTTTTTATGTAATTGGTCGGCAAACGAGCAGACGGATAACCTGATGGTAAGTAGTCAGCGCCGCCCATGGACACCCGCAACGGAGGAGTTACGAGTGCGTTGCCGACCTTTTAGGGATGAGGGATTTGGAGATTTAGGGATTTAGGAGGGATTGGGGGCGGGGAAGGATTGGTCCTCCGGTTACCTCATTCACACGGCAAAACACAACGCTGTAGTTGTTTCACGCCGGTCTTCTGTGAGGCCGTGGTATCACTCCGGTCGAGCCGACCCATTCGTGCCGAAGCATGGCTCTCCCACATTCAAAGTAATTAATTTTATTTTTTGTATAAAACGAAACACAAGTCTAACCATATTTTATAATTGGTAAGATAGTAACACAGTCTTATAGTATAAGTAGCCTTTTATCTAAAGAATATTCAACGATATTTTCGTAACAATATTCAACTCTATTTCAGTCGGTAATTATCTTTATTTTCAGCTGAAACGCCACTTCAAAAGTTTTCAGATTACAGGGGTATTCAATTTCAATAGTATGGAATTTCAAAATTATCAAATTGAGTTCAGATCTGTGGGGTTCATTCTATTTTTAGCCATGCTAAGAGGCTTGTGAAGGAGTGTAGGTATACGCTTTGGGAAACTACTTAAAACTTAAAAAAAGGAATGGTAAAAAATAACGTGGTTGAAAAAATGTCATGGTGCCCGGAGATTAAGGCGCCCGCTTCTCATACATAAACCGGTTTCGAAACCTGGCAAGTATCAGTGTGATTATTGCCGAGCTATATGTACTTTCCATGATTATTAAGTGTGGGAGAGCCATGCTGCGGTACGAATGGGTCGGCTCGACCGGAGTGATACCGGGGCCTCACAGAAAACCGGCGTGTTTTGCCGTGTGAGTGAGGTTACCGGAGGCCCAATCCTTTCCCTCCCCCTATCCCAAAATCTCCAAATCCCTAATCCCTATAAGGTCGACAACGCACTCCTAACTCCTCCTTGCGGGTGCGGGTGTCCATGGGCGGCGCTGATTGCTTACCATCAGGTAACAGTCTGCGCGTTTGCCGATCTATTACATAAAAAAAAAACTTAAGATAGCTCTGGCATCATCTGACTGGTAAAAGAAAACATCGTAAGGAAACCTGGACTTATGATTTCTAAGGTGATATCGCCTATGCACCTTGAGCAAGCGTGGTGATTAGTGCTCAAACCATCCTCCTTGTAAGAAGAGGCTTTAGCTCGGCAGTGGGCTCTTATAGGCTGATGATGTGACGAAATGAGAACCGGGAATGTAAATTTAAAATCTACTTAATGGAAAATTATCAATATCTAACTGTTTTATATCAGAAAATTTATTTTCGGATAACTAGAATTGAAGTTTTGGAATGAGCTAATTACGTCATTTCTAAGTTTATAACGTACTTAGAATTGATATCACGAAATATTTTACATCGATAATTATGTCGTCGAAAGTTTTTTTGTTTTCTTTAGGACAGACTTTTCAATAGTCTGATAAATGTTATCTTTAAAATAAAATTGTTGCTGTCACTGTCTTATACAAACATTCTGACGCGACAGCATCATAATTATTTCTCAGATAACTTAATCAGCCCTTACACAATAAAAAAATATGAGTACGTATATATTTTTTGCATTTTAAAAATCTACCAGATGAAAAGGAATACGTTATCCCTCTATTCTTTATAGATAGGATTCTTTTCTAGGTATCATGAATATGATCATAAAAAATCTATGAGACAGTTCCTCCACCTTCATGTATCAGATAGCCTTATGTGATGTACCAGATAAGGCCTATTAAAAATAAAATTCTATAGTCAAATTTATTTGGTACATTTGGCTACCCAGACGTTAAAAAAAAGTCTTTTAAACAACAGAAAATTAATAATTATGGATTTGCTATCCATTAATGTTTATTATTTAATAAAAAAACACTATTTATTCAAAATTTATAAAATACGTCTCAGCCAAAGCTATTAAAAAAA